GAGGCTATGGAACTGGGAGAGGAAGGAAAGTTCCTTTGCACAGGGCTTTTGGAGGGGCTTGTTCTCCAGGTGTGCAGCCAGGCGCTCCGTTACTGTCGGCAGGGAGGAAAGATCCTGTCCTGGTATCTGGCCTGCACTCCCTGCACGGTCTCCTTTGCACACAAGGGCACTTGCTGCTTAAACCTAACCTCTGTCTGGTAACCTACAGCCAAGGCCTCCATAAAGACAATGGAGCTGTGCTGTGTGCAGGCGCTGGTGGATCGGGGCAGACAGGCCCCGCACTGACAGACAGGTGGTGGCCCAGGCCCAGCTGGCAGAGAAAGCCCTGCCCCTCCGACCCTGCTGGGCATGCTCCCAGCAGAGGCCAGGTATAAAAGCAGAGGGAGCCCTGCAGTCAGGGAGACCGCAGGGTGAGGGAGCAGACCAGGCTGGGACAGTGTTTCTGCAGCAGCTGGGACCAGAATCGCCACCCATGCCTGACCCTGACACCGAGAAAGCAGCCGCCGACCCAGGGCGGCAGGAGCGCGCCCAGGACCCCGGCAGGTACTGCCTCGGAGGCGAATGGGCTCCAGGGGAACTGGGGCATGGTAGGAAGCAGCCCAGGGCAAAGGATACAAAGCGTGGCTCGGCGTGTATCGGCCGGATTCGCAGCTGGGACCAGAATCGCCACCCATGCCTGACCCTGACACCGAGAAAGCAGCCGCCGACCCAGGGCGGCAGGAGCGCGCCCAGGACCCCGGCAGGTACTGCCTCGGAGGCGAATGGGCTCCAGGGGAACTGGGGCATGGTAGGAAGCAGCCCAGGGCAAAGGATACAAAGCGTGGCTCGGCGTGTATCGGCCGGATTCCCCGCCGAGCTGGCATACCACGCAGGGTCTGTCTGTCTGTCTGTCCGTCCGTCCGTCCCCCTCCCTCCGTTCCCCCCCGCCCTGGATAACCAAACCATGGGCCAGGAGAGGCTTCTCAGAGGGACTAGGCCTCTCATACCGTATATCCCCTGATAGAGGGGCCTGGACTTGGTTCTGGGACTGTGGATACCATATATCCCCGATAGAGGGGCCTGGACTTTTGGGGACTTTGGGTGCTGTATAGGCCCGGACCGAGAAGCGGGCCAGTAGATGGGGGCAGCGGGCCAGTAGACGGGGGCAGCAGCCCCTGTCAGGGGCGTACCCCCTGACACCCAGGCTTTGCTCTAAAGCAGCCACTCTACAGCAGGTGCCCAGCAGGACTCTCAAGGGGAAGCAGGCACGGTCAGGGGCTTGCTCGGGCGCAGTGCTGTGGGTAGCGGTGGGAGCTAGGGTCCAGTCATGCCGGCGGGCTGCATGGTGTCCCTCACATTGGGCTCCTGGAACAGTGCTACTTTCCCAGCCTGCAGGCACCTGCCGGTGGGAGGGGAGGGGGATGAGGCAGGGCAGCTTCCCTTGTGTCTCTCACATGCCTCCTGGGGAGAGAGCTAATAGCTTCCCCTCCTCCTTCCAGGATGTCATCTGGCATAGCAGTCTGCTCCCAGTCACTGCGAGCGAGTGACTGACTGTGGCCAGGCGCCAGGGCCTTAGACTGCAGTGCTGTGTGGTTCGGTGGCACCAGACCCCTTACCGGTGTTGGTGTGGGAAGGACAATGAGCTGGCTTCCCCAGAACCTCATGAGAAGGTTGAGAGAGTTCCTACCTGAGAACGTCATGGAGCTCTGCAGGGAAACTCCTGTTCCGTCTCCAGACACCTTAACAAGCTGTTCCAGGCCCCCCATGCTGTGTAGGCGCACATCACGCCCAATTGCCTTACCCCACTGGCAGGATGAAAACAATTGTGAACTCGCCAGAGTGCCATCCCTGGATCAGTGCTCAGCTGGGAGACATCCTGGGAGGAGGGAATTGGCTCGGAAGTGATAAAGTTCCTGGTTCTTGCTGATTGCCCGCTGGCCATTCTCCTTCTCCCCCTCTGCCGCCTTGCTGTCTTCCACGCTGATGCCAGGAGTGTTGGCCGGACTCCATGGTCGCGCTCAGGAAGCTGGTTGGGTCCCCTTAAAATAGCATGCAGCTGCTCGTAGAACTGGCGTGTTCGCAGTGATGCACCAGACTGTCCGTTGTCTCCATTGTCTTGTGGTAGGACTGCCTCAGGTCCTTTATTTTGACTCTGCATTGCTGGGCGTCCTTGGAGTGTCCTTTGGCCACCAAGAAGTTTGTGGTCTTTGCATAAATGTCAGTGTTTCTTTTGTTGGTTCGGAGCTTGGAGAGAATGGATTCCTCTCGCCACTGGCACTCCTCTGCACCCCTAGGAACTGGCGCTCACGGGGCTGGAAGTGCCAGAGGTCATGGCCATGTGTGCTGCCTGCTCTGATGTGGGCTTACAGCGCTGGCCACACAGGAAATGAAATTCAGGCTTTCCCAGGGCTTTTCCTGTTCCCATGGAATGCAGTAGAACTTCAAGTTCTGGCCAGAGCAGTCTGAGGGGCACTGTGGGATGCCTCCCGGAGGCCAAGAGCATTGACTTTCACCAACACTGCATCTACCCTGTCGTAAACTCGACCAGGCAAGGCCGGAAATAGCATTACTCCCAGTGAAATCAGGGGTACCCAACATGGACTTCAGGGGCCTGTAAGGTCAACGAGGCAGACCTGGTAGCGTGGACACATCATTTAGAAAATTGACCTTACAGGCTAATTTCGATGTAAGCCCCTACTGTGGACTGGGCCTTAATGTGGGTTCGGTTATGACTGTTTAAGGCACCTTTATACCAATTGGGGTTGTTCCAGTGTAACGACAATGGTAAAATCACTCTTAACCAGCATAATTGCATCCGTAGAAACAGGGCTCGACAAATCAGTGAATCTACTTGCCCGTGGCGAGTTGATTTCAGCTGGTCGCCCCGCTTACCGGCGGCGCGCGCATGCGCAGTGTGGGTCTGACGCATGTGAAGTGCAGGGCTGGCGAGTAGATTTCACCGCGGTTTGACAAGCCCTGCGTATAAAAACTGTAGGCCAGGCATGAGGTATTCCACTGAAGACAGGGTGAGAGGAGAGGCTGATCAGAGGGGAAAGAGGGATCAGTTTCATACATGAACACCATTTTAGTAGGGAAGGAGATAAGTAAGACTTAGCATTTGTGTACCTGCCACTTCTGCGAGGCTTACATTGTCATGTAGAAGCCGAGTCTCTGAAACAGTGCTGTACTTAGAGTTGGGATCAGGTATGACCACTCACTGTAAGTCTGGGGTTTCATGTCCCACTAGCAATGACAAATTGGGGACAGGGACGGATCACTTGATTCCCTGTTCTGTTCATTCTCTCCAGGGCACCTGGCACTGGCCACTGTCAGCAGTCAGGACACTGGGCTAGATGGACCTTTGGTCTGACCCAGTCTGACTGTTCTTGTGTTCTGCTCAGGAGGCAGAACTTTCTTTAGGGTCACTCTGAAACTATGGAATGAATTCCCCCAGGACTTACGGCCATTGCAAACTAAGGATGTTAAGAGCTGAGTAGTTGACTAATCATGAAGTGGATAAGGGGAGTCACTCTGCAGAGCTGCAGTGGGGGTAGCTCCTGGAGCAGACTCCGCACTCCTTCATTAATGCCATTGAAGAGTGTGACCCTCGATCACTTTCCAAAATCTTGGTGTGGCCCCATCAAAAATTACTGCCTACCCCTGCATTAAGCCCAATAATTAATGATTGAACTAAAGCATATTTTGATCTTAAACTAGCCAGTCCATGAAGAGTCTGCCACATCGGGGAATCTTGTTTGTTTTGTTTTGTTTTGTTTTGTTTTGTTTTGTTTTGTTTTGTTACTTACATTCACTGTTAAGGGACAAATTTTATTTTTCCCTTGAAATGTTCACTTTGGCTTCCAGCCATTGGATCTTGTTGTGCCTTAATCTGCTAGATTAAAGAGCCTTCTCAGATATGGTCTGTGACTGTCCAGTTGCCCCTTACGATTAGTGTGACACAGGCTTCCAGTACAGACCTTACATGTCCCTCTTTTTGGCAAACTAGAATGTAAATACCAGGCCCACAAGGTCCCTGTAGCCCTCATGTGCACTTCTGTACGCTCTGCCAGTTAGCATCAAGAGGTTCTTGTGTTGCACAATTGTAATTATAGATGCTGTTGTTGTACCTTTAATTTCAATTCCTTAACTCTCTACTTGTGCCTCATTTTATTTAATTCAGATCTACATTTTATTTTATTTTATTTTACTTGAGTCAGTCTTCGTGAAAGCACAGTCTTTTTGCATGACTTGGAAAGAGATTGGCTTGTGTAGTAAAATCATAAGCTACAAAAATAATTGGTGTAACTTACTGATCTGGTCATTAGGAACTTCAGCTTCTACCTTTAGATTCTTGGTCTGTTTCAGTGTTTCTCAACCAGTGGTACGAGTACCCTTAGGGGTACTCAAGAGAAGTCTAAGAGCTACGTCAACACAACTGAAACTTGGCAAAAACGGAATTTTTGTTTTAAGTCTTCCAGGATTTTATTATTTTTGTACTTTTTACACCCAAAAATTTAATCACCCACATGACTACAATTAAGTTGTTTAAACAAATGTTTTGAAATGGTAGAAAAAAATTGTCTCCAAAAAGTGTAGGTACTGGGGGTACTTAGAATTTTTTTTAAAAAAAGGGGTACTTCATTAAAAAAAAAAGTTCGAGGAACACTGGTCTATTTGGCTGTACCAGTGGGTCTTTGGTCTTGGGTTCCTTTAATGAATTTTGTACCTAGCTTAGTGGCCTGGGAAAGTGCCGTTCTATCTAGTCTTGCTATACCCTTCTGAATGTTGAGGCATTTCTTTGCTCTTCATGCCGCACTTCTTTCTGACAAGAAAGCTGAATGTGTGGTTGCCTTGGGAGGTGTGGAGGGGAGAGGTGGTCTTTGAATCTGCTTAAATAATAGCACCCGATGAGAGGGTAATAACCCTGCATTAGCTCTTACCGCTGTTTGTCTAACACAGACATTCCCTCTCGTGTGGACACACTTTGAGCTGTAATAATGACTCTTGCTTGCTGTTCACAGGGACACTGCAGGACAGGAGCGATTTCACACCATCACCACCTCCTACTACAGAGGAGCCATGGGGATTATGCTAGTGTATGACATCACTAATGCCAAAAGCTTTGAAAACATCAGCAAATGGCTCAGAAACATCGACGAGGTGAGCATGGCCGATGAGCTCCTCCTCTCTGCACTAACCGCACCTGTTGTCTGGCAGGTCCTGCCTGCTGCCGAAGGAAGGCCCTGCAGAGCTGAGTCTCCTGAGACCAGCAGTTTCTCCCTTGCAGATGTGCTACTGTCAAGGAGCCAGATGAGGGTGGAGACAGTGGAGCTGTCAAGCTGGTTTGCGTAGGCCGTACCTCTGCCCCATAGGTAGAGCAGGAGAGAATTTGTTGCTAGTTGAGAGTTGGCTAGCAGTGCTGCTCTCTGAAGCATGTGCAAGTTAAACGCTCATTTTAGAAGCTTTTTAAAATAGTCTTGGGTTCCTTTTGGCATTCAAGGGATGGAGTGAGAGGGTCAGATTATGTGCCTTTGCCCAATAAACAGGCTCTGCTGCTGAAAGCAATTACCAGCACGTCACGCCTGCCATGCTTGCAGCTACTGTTGCAGTGAGAGCCATGATACAAGAATGACAGTAGTTTGTAGACTTGACCATTACTCGGTGACATGCACCTGTTTTCGTACAGATTATGGGCTTCTCTGCCATGGGAGCTAAAATGTGTTTTGCAAAGAAGATACCTTCAACGTCAAGTTCAATTTTGTGGGAACTGAGCCCAGTTCTTGACTGCGTTTCATATTTCTGGATGGCTAATTCCCTGTGGGGCTTAATATTGCCAGTTGTGTAACTCCCCTCGAGTCTGCAAGAATGTTGACCAGTAGAAATTGGTAGAACTACTGAGGGGATCTGATGAAGTGGAACAAACTGATCAATATGGAAACCTAAAATGGACTTAATTCCCAGTGAGCCAAATCTTTGAGGGAAATTCTTAATTTTCTCACTGTGCAGTGAGAAATGGGCTACGTCAGATTAACTTAGCTAGGAGAGTCTCCTTTCTCTGGTAGTTCTTCCCCTTTGCTGTGGCATTCCCTGTTGCTCCACATATTAAACGGAGCCAGTGCGTGGGTTTTTTCTGCTCCTCGGGGAAAGAGAAGCTGCTTTATCTCGTGCGTGCACTCTCCCCCTCCAAAAAAACCACCCTAAAGCTGCAGAAAACAACCTGCTTTTTAGCACTGTGTGTGTGGAGATGAATACCATTGCCAGAGGCCCTAGGGAGAGGCTAGTGAGGGTGAAGGCAGTCCCAGAAATGAAATAAAGGTGGCAAGCTTTGATGGGGAGACACCTCCCTGGTAGAGTGGGGGAGAGGGTGAACTGGATGGGCGCAGAGGCATGAGGAAGTGGGTGCTAAAGACCGTGCAGGAGAAGACACGTGATCCATGATGGAGAAGCCCTGTATCCTTGGCAGCCAACTGAATCTAAAATTTGAAGCAAGATCCATTTAATCAGCTGTGGAATTTGAATATGTGAATGACGGCTGCTTCATGGAAGCTGCCAGTAGGCGTTAGCGACTGAGATGGGAATTCTTGGCGCCATATGAAGTGGAAATACGCTAGCTGAGCTTTTGCTGAAATGATCAGTTCAAGGCCTGGTCTACACTAGTTAGGTCTAAGCCACTTTGCGTCAACCTAAAACAAGCAGCAATGGGCTTAAACTGCAGCAGGGGAGGGTTAGGTTGGACATTAGGAGAAAGTTCTTAACTGTCAAGGTGGTTGAACACTTGAATAATCTGCCTGGAGAGGTTGTGGAATCCCCATCCCTGGGGATATTTAAGCGCAGGTTGGACAGACAGCTGTCAGAGATGCTCTAGACTAGGGATGTTAAAATTAGATTAATCAGTTGGAATTTCAGCTATTCGATTAGTCGATAAGAGCACTTCTGCTTTGAAAGGTGGCTAGAGCCCGCTGGGATGTTGCTACGTTTCAAAGGCGGAAGCGCCACGCAGCGTTACGCCTTTGAAATGTGTAAGAGCCCCGGCGGGAACTCATGTACGTCTCAGACTGAAAGGCTGCGTGGAGCCTGGGGCCAGCACAAGTCCCCCGCTGCCCCAGGCTCCATGTGGCCCTCCCGCTTTGGAGTGCCCCAGCGGGGACTCTTGTACATTTCAAAGGTGGAACGCTGCCGCTGCGCCCCTGCCCCCTCGCACGGAGCTGGAGCTGGGGGACCTGGCTGTTAACCCCAGCACCCCTTCCGCTTCCCCCCTTTGTGCCCCCTTTCGAGACGGCGGCAGGGGGGGAGGAGCGACTAGTGGACTAGTGTGCCGACTATGCAATAAGCTCTTGCTTATCAGATAGTCAATTAGTCGCTTACCCCCCTAAGTGAGACAGTGCGTGCTCCTGCTGTGAGGCCGGCGGACCTCCTGAGGGCCCTGCCAGTGCTAGTGCTCTAGGATTCTAGTTGTGTGCATGTTTCCACTGACACAAGTGCCCAGTCAGGTCTTTAAGCAGTTTGTCCTGATTTGACCTCTCAGTGGTGCCCCAAAAATCTGTCCCATTGCAGTCCGACAGCGACCTGGCCTGCGTGTCAGTTCTCCGCAGGGTTCCTTGTGGCTCAGCACACACCAGAGGGCTGTGCCAATCTCTTGGCAGTAGCGCAGAGCAGCACAGGCTGCTTACCAGATGGCTAACAGTGGCAGACCCGCGTGGGTTAGTGGGACATTGAAAACAGGCACAGATTATGGAGTAGGCACTGTCAGCACAGCGTGGCTCCATTCTGCCCCAGACATTGGCAAAGCTCCCCCAAAGCCAGCACGCTGCATTAGGGATGCCAGCGAGTAGTCGAGTGGAGTACGCGGCTACTCACTCGTCCCCCGCTGCCTCGTAGGAGAGATACACAGGAGCTGGAACTGGGGGAGAGCTGGCTGAAAAGTTGGTTCCCCCAGCACAGTCGCCACAGTGTTGCCTGTCCCCCACTCCTCCCCCACCTCGATCAGAGGCAGTAGGTGGGGAATAAGGGAGGCTGCTCCAGCAGCACCCCCTGTCATGGCCATGCCCGGTCACCGCCATTGGGCCTCTGGACCTGGTGCGAGCCAGAACTGAGCAGTCCAGGACTGCTGCGTCTCTGCGTTTGAAATGAGGCGCAGCGTTCCGGAGCTTGTGCGAGCTGGGCTGCTCGGTCCTGGCTCATGCCGGCTTGGGATCCACCTGTGCTACGGCTCTGACGACATTTAAAGTGCAGAGCCGCAGCAGCGGGAACTGTGGGGACTGTGCCTCCACCTAGGAGCCAATGGCCGTGATACAGCTGTGGAGGAACACCCCTCAGAGATGAGCACTGCCGGAGTCCTCGCCCTATCCTGCGCCCCTTCTGCACCCCAACTCTGGCTGCTGCTTTTGGCCTGGGGCGGGTGGCAGTGGCCAGAAACTGCTGCAGCAGTGCTAGTCCTGGCTGCTGCAAGTCATGGATTCCTTGACTTTCCATGACACTCTCAGCCTTACGGATGTTGGGTTGGTCCGTGAGGACTTCCGGGGATGGCAGTTGGGCACAATTATTGCTACTGCAGTGTAAGTGGGGAGGGCTACCTGTAAGCAGGTATTAGTGAACACGGCTGTAAGTCTCTGTTCAGTGCGAACAGGTAATTATCTTAGCAGACTGTCTAGAACGGGGTGGGCCATAATTTTTGAAAGAGGGGGCACGCCAAGATTTTGGAAAGTGTTCGAGGGCCGCACTCTTCCATGATACTAATGGAGGAGGTGCCAGGTCTGGGATGGAGGTCGGGATAAAGGATTGACATGCAAGAGAGAGAGTGGTCTTGGAATAAGTTTGGGTGAAGGAGGCACTTGTGACCTAGGGCAGGGGCTGGGGTTTGGAATGTGACTTAGGTTAGGAGGGGATTGTGATCTGGGGCAGGGGACTGGGGTGCCAGGTCTGGGAGGGGGTATGGGTGTAAGAGGGGGGCTAGGGTGTCAGAGGCAGGATC